AACCGACTGAGCCACCCAGGCGTCCCAAGAATGGGCCCAGTTTAGTCCTGACCCCTGAAGATCAGTATCCTTGAAGTTCTAGCCTGAGGAGGGACCAGAAAACCAGATAACAGGGAGACAACTAGGAATCCCTGGAAGGGATTGATGAGATACACATGGATTAAAAGTCTAATTAAGAGAATGAGATTGTATTGCAGTTTATGTTGTATAAATTACACCCTCAAATTCTCTTAATACGCTTGAGCTGACCATGTGCTTAGCTACAGTGGCCAGGATATTGGGAAATGGCACTGTCCAAGACGGGAAAGAGGAGAAGGGCCAGGAAAATGTGGAAATGTTTGATGATAAATTCTTTTCTCTTTTGATTCTCAGTTACGGCAATAGAAAGTAAACTGAAGCAAATCAGTGGTAGGACATCTGGGGAGAACTGTAGAACCCTTAGAAGACAATTTTATTATATCACTAAAATCGGTGTCTCTTGTAAATTACGAGTTGACCTTAATATAATAGTATGTAATCATTAAAGCAATAATCCTGAGATCAACTTTGTAATCCTGTCAATCCTGGTTGAATTTTTTTAAATTTTTTTTTTTTTTATTCATGAGAGTCAGAGAGAGAGAGAGGCAGAGGAAGAGGGAGAAGCAGGCTCCCCGCCTAGGAGGGAGCCCGATGCGGGACTCGATCCCAGGACCCCGGGATCATGACCTGAGCCGAAGGCAGACGCTTAACCATCTGAGCCACCCAGGCGCCCAATCCTGGTTGAATTTTTTGATGCTTGGCATTAAGAGCTAATTGTTTTATTTCCTCCATACTTCATAAAACTGACAAATTTTCTGAATAATCTACTGAAACTCGGAGGTCTCAGTTTCTTAATATTTCAATAGGAAGAAAATAAAAATCATGAATAATTTTTGTTTGCTGACTAGAGTAATTCAAAACGGGGTGTTAAAAATACTCTTTTAATACTGTCTTTTCGTAGAGTTGATGGCCAGGTAGTTTGGTTAGAACATGGTGCCAAGGTGGCCAAGGTCAAAGGTTTAATCCTCACAAGTAATAAGATCTTTAGTGTTAGAAGAGATCTTTGTTGTCACCTAGTTCAACTTTACACCTAGGGAAGGAATCTCTTCTTTAGCATCTCTGATGTGTTGTCATTTAAACTTTGCTTGAATATTTCCATTTTTGAAAACATTATTTTTTTGAAATTTTGTTGCTTCCAGTGCCATAGCATGTAACTCCTGTGTAATCAACTTACCATTTTATGGATATGCCATTGGTCACAGGGTCAGTCTCCAGTATCAGGAGAAATTAATTCTGAGCATTCATATGCATATGAAGGACAGCTCCTGCTTACTATAGTTGCAAATTTGTTTCCAATTTCAGAATGAGGCATTTTAAAATTAGCTAGTTTTAAAGAAAATAAGTATCTTATTATAGTGCTGGAGACAGTCTAGAAAAATCAAACTTTCATGTTTTTTTTCCCATCATTATAGATATTGAGACAAATTGTTTAGAAGAAAAAAGCAAGAGAGACTATTTTACACAATTGGTATTAGCATGTTTGGTAAGTTATAAAAAAATACTTTCCCTTTCTAGATTTTTACATTGAACAATTATAATCACAGTTAATCATGTTAATGGAGGAGGATATTGACATTCAGTTGGCTATTCATTATAAGGTGAGATTTGGATTTTGAAATGGAATGCTTTGTAAAATTAGACATGCTAATTATGTGAAATATGCATGCTTCATATCAATTAAACTATCTGTATATATCAAACTTTTGGTGATATTCCTGACCCAGTAAGTTCCTAAATAAGGAAAAGGTAAGCATCTATCAAGTGAGTAGAAATGATGTGGACAACTTTTAAACTGAACAGTTTTTCATAAACTATTAGGCAAGGAGAAAAAGAATGGAGGTAGTTTAAAAATAATAAATTCTAGAACTTGTCATAATCATTGTCGGGTAAACCATTTTATGTTCATAAATTTAGAACCAAGGAGAAATGCTATTACTCAGACCTGGAAGATGGCCTTGTATTCGCTGTACTAGAATTTGACTTAAACAGTAGAAAGTAATGAAGGCTGAAGGTGCTGTACTACTCTTAAAGAAAAATTCAGTTGACAGACATAGGTTTAATCAGAATTTCATTTGTAGGCTCTGTACAGCATGCATATAATTTTTTAGTGAGTTTTATTTAAAGAGCTGTATGTCACATTTTTTTCAGTATTTGGAGAGTCATCATTTTTGTTAAATTGAAATTCCAAGCTTTTTTTTAATAAATTGAAATTTATTGATACATATTTAATGTGATTTTAATATTCTTATTTGGGAAAAATTATTTTGAGTGTATTTATATTGTGGATATATTAGAATGCTAAGGAATAAATGGCCTTTAATATTTTTTAATACAGTATTTAGTTTCAGACACAGTTCTAAAGGAACGCCTGGATCCAGAAACATTGGAATCATTAGGGCTTATCAAACAATCACAGCAGTTCAATCAAAAGTCAGTTAAAATCAAGACAAAACTCTTGTAAGTACATTTATTTTTATGTTGCAGATCAAGTATCTGAGTATGTTTTCTTTAGTTCTCATTTTGAATACTAGATGTTTCTAACAGCAGTTTGAAGATTTTTTTTGTTGTTGTTGCTGTTAGCATGTCTTGTGTTTTATCCTTTTAAAAGAAGCCTAGGATTATTGAGTCAGCCGTGAACTTTACCTGTGTGAAACCAGTGTTAATTTTTTTCCATATTAGAAGTTAAAGTAATATTCAGTGCTTTTATTATTACCAATAAAATAATTTACAAGTATGGCTATACTCTAGGGTATATTGTTAGTCAACGATGGAAATAGTGGCATGCTGTTGTTCCTTGGGATTAGCAATATTCCTTTTTTGTGTTACTGGTTTTCCCTGTGTAATTAACATTGGGGTGTCTCATGAATCACTGTTATTTTCTATTTTAAAAGATATACAAAGAAGTAAACTTTCAACAACTATTCTTATAATTGTTCTATATAAGAGAAATAATGAAAATTCAATGAGAATACGGTACTTTTATGCAAGCTTGTTAATTGAATTAATTTTATCCCCTTTATGTTTATCTAATTTCAGTTATAAGCAGCAAAAATTCAATTTGTTAAGAGAAGAGAATGAAGGTTATGCCAAGCTGATTGCTGAATTGGGGCAAGATTTATCTGGAAATATTACTAGTGACTTAATCTTAGAAAATATAAAATCTTTAATAGGTAAGACCTATGTCTAATAATATGTGTTACTAAGTTTTTTTAAAACTGTTGGAGAATATCCATAAAGACAAAATGGATGCATTCCCCCATGTAGGTTTCTTTTTTTCAATTAAGAAATGAGAGCAGTGTCTAGATTGTACTTTTAAGATTTTATCAGTACTAGTAAAATTTGAGATGATATTTATGAGAAATCTTTTTGTCATTGCTACCTATGTGTTTGTATTCATTTCTTTTTTCTTTTTATTGTTATTATTTTCATTGTATTATTTGTTTCAGGGGTACAGGTCTGTGATTCATCAGTCTTACATAATACACAGCGCTCACCACAACACATACCCTCCCCAATGTCCATCACCCAGCCACCCCATCCCTTCCACCCCCCTCCACTCCAGCAGCCCTCAGTTTGTGTCCTGAGATTAAGAGGCTCTTATGGTTTGTCTCCCTCTCTGGTTTCGTCTTATTTCATTTTTCCCTCTCTTCCCCCATGATCCTCTGCCTTGTTTCTCAAATTCCACATATCAGCAAGATCATATGATAATTGTCTTTCTCTGATTTATTTCGCTTAGCATAATACCCTCTAGTTCCATCCACATTGTTGCAAATGGCAAGATTTCTTTTTTTTTTTGATGGCTGCATAAGATTCCATTGTATATGTATATGTATATATACACACACACACACACACACACACCACATCTTCTTTATCCATTCATCTGCTGATGGACATCTAGGCTCTTTCCATAGTTTGGCTATTGTGGACATTGCTGCTATAAACATTGGGGTGCACATACGCCTTCGGATCACTACATTTGTATCTTTGGATTACCAACTC